AGTTCAGGCCCCACGACCGGACCCCAAAAAAAAAATGTTTGTCAAGAACTTCATCTTAAGCAGCTTAAATAACAAAAACTTTTTAAACATATTTAGCAATTGCAAGGTAAATTCTCAAAGAACAAAAATGGTTTCCAGGGCTGGGAAGGTGGCTTAGTGGTAGAGTGCTTGCCTTGCATGCATGAGGCCCTGGGTTCAATTCCTAAGCACCACATAAGCAGAAAAAGCTGGAAGAGGCTCAAGTGGTAGAGCGCTACCCTTGAGCTGAAGTGCTGAAGGACAGCGCCCAGGCCCAGAGATCAGGCCCCACAACCAGCAAAAAACAAAAACAAAACAAAAAATGGTTTCCATCTAAATGTTGTCCATTACTAATCTTTCCTTATTTGGTTGTAGCAGAGAATGTGAGTACTATCACTCACAATGAATTTTAATTTCCAATGTCAACCAGCTACAGTTACTAACTAGTTTCCCTACTGTGTCAGAATCTCAACTAGTTGAGCTGATCAAATTCCAAGAGAGGAAGAAAAACCAATCAATATAGAAGTTACTTGTTATGTTTAATATGGAAAATTAACTGAAAGAATAAAGTAAAATCGCCATGTTTTGTGCTGATGAATCACTCTTTAGAGAAGCAATGCCATATTCTATATTAATGACATTAATAAAGTAAAACATGACAATATGACTCAAAAAAAGTTACTTGTTTTACTAATTCAGTGTAAGCTAAGTGGACTGGTACTATTAATCACTAGACAAGAATGGTCATTTGACAGTCATCTGTTAGCTTGTAAATATTCAAATCAGCTATGTTAGAACTTTAGAGACAGTCTTAAAATCTGTTGTGACGGAAACTGTCTTGGGAGAGATGTGCTGGATAAACTTGGTTAAGTCTTCAAGTTAAATTTATGTCGCCATTCTCCCTTTATTGAAGTTTATAATTAATAATAGAATAATATGTGTAAAAATATTCAGAGTTCCTCTAAGAAACAATTTTCCCAGATTATTGACAAAAGAAAAAAGATTGACTATCTCAGACAAATAAAAATGGTTGATCAGACATCAAAACATGAGAACCATTAAAAATATACTTGATCATTAAGGGGCTGGAGGTGTGGATCAGGAAGTAAAGCCCCTGCTACTAAATGCAAAGCTCTGAGCTCAAACCCCAGACTGCCTTTCTTGTTAAAAAGAAAATACCGGTACCAATTTTATATGTTTAATTTAAAAATAGATTCCATTCTTGAATTCTCATAGTCCAAAAACAAATACTGGCAAAACATATATTAAAGTTTTAAAATAGATTTGAAAATAGTGGACCAATTAAGTCCTGTCACACATGAAATTAATAAAAAAATAGTTTATTCAAGGGATTCCTCTTTGTAGTCCTTCTCTGAAGAATCTCACTACTTTCACTTTCAAATAAACTTGCTCTTTTTACCTTAAAAAACAATAGATGGAAAGCCAGGCGCTGGTGGTTCATGCCTGTAATCCTAGCTACTCAGGAAGCTGAGATCTGAGGATCGCAGTTCAAAGCCAGCCCAGGCAGGAGAGACCGTGAGACTCCTATCTCCAATAAACCACCAGAAAACCGAAGTGGCGCTGTAGCTCAAGTGGTAGAGCGCTTGCCTTGAGCTGAAGGGCTGAGGGACAGTGCCCAGGCCCAGAGTTCAAGCCCCACGACCGACAAAAAAAAAAAGATGGATAGATGATAAATGACAGAGATAGCCTGATAGATAATCATTCGTCTGGCTTACTGGTTAGACTAGACTATTATTGTTCCATGACTGCCAGTGGAATACATGCCAAACTTATCCACATCAATGACATCAGGGACTTTTTAATATTTCCCTTGGTATAACAATGGCACGGCATAATACATGACATTTGGCAAAATGCTGAGAACAGCTGACGATGGGTAATGCATACACAAGACTGTATTACACTACTCTTGTGTAGAGGTTTGAAATTTTCCAACAGAGACCAAAAAGGAAAAAATACTCACTATACAATACAAATGCCAATCAGTAAAATAAAATCTTTTAAGGCTCAACATGATGTTATCAATAGCAAAATCTCATTAGCGTTAAAACAGTTGGAGTACAAGAAGTAAACAGGTCTCTGCACGTAACAGCTCAATAAAGTCCATGTTAGAAGGTCTTGCAAGGTGTCACTCAGTGCCTATGCACCAAGTAAACAAAAGGGGAGGGAAGAGACATAAGAAGCCATATAATGCCACCAACTGGGCAAAGAGGAAATGTGGGGCTCTGAAGGGGAAATGACATAGATGTGAATCCAGCCGCTCACCGCTTACTGGGCAACTGACAGAAAAGTTCTCTGAACTATCTTTTTTTACCTGTAAAATTCTATGCAAAGGGGCTGGGAAGGTGGCTCAGTGGTAGAGCGCTTGCCTTGCATGCCTGAGGCCCTGGGTTTGATTCCTCAGCACCACATAAGCAAAAAGAAAAAAAGCCAGAAATGGCTCTGTGGCTCAAGTGGTAGAGCGCTAGCCTTGAGCTGAAGAGCTGAGGGACAGCGCCCAGGCCCAGAGTTCAGGCCCCACAACCTAACCTCCCCCCCGCAAAAAAAATTCTATGCAAGTACTTTTATGATAGTCACACACCTCCAGCACCTTATTAATTCTTTCTAATATCATATATTTAGCATATGTAGGTATTCATTTAATAGTGAGATTATTATTTTTAGTAAATGGAAGAGGGAGAACCTAACAGTAAATGTTAATATTTTTTAAGTAGGACTATGGGTCATGTAGCTGCTGCTTAGAAAACTGAAGGTATTAACACTGAAGTACTAGCACTAATCAAGCCCAACCAAGAAGAGTCTCCAAGATTTCCTAGAGGTAAGCGTGATTCCCAGATTGAACTCAAAGTTCTCTAACAATGACATGTGTGCAATAAAAAGGGTGAATCCGGGCATTTTACTATTTTATAATTATACCTCTATTTTTTTTTTTTGGTAGTGATTAAGAAACTTTGAGAACACCGAAACTTTCTTCTCTTTTGAAGAAAAAGACAAATCTCTATTTCCTGTTTTAAGCAGTTGTAAAATTCCGCTTGTTTCCTTTTCTCCTCCAAAAGCACTGAGATGACAACTTTGAAAACCTATCTTAAAACCATTTTCAGGACTGGGAATGTGGCTTAGTGGTAGAGTGTCTGCCTAGTATGCATGAAGCCCTGGGTTCAATTCCTCAGTACCACATAAACAGAAAAAGCCAGAAGTGTCGCTGTGGCTCAAGTGGTAGAGTACTAACTAGCCTTGAGCAAAAGAAGTTCAGGGACAGTTTGAGTTTAAACCCCAGGACCGCAAAAACAAAAAACAAAACAACAACAACAAAACTCAATATTTAAGCTAGGAGCCAGTGGCTCATGCCTGTAATCCTAGCTACTCAGGGGCTGAAATCTAAATATCACTGTTAAAAGCCAGACCAAAGAGTCTGTGAGACTCTTATCTCCATTAATCATCATAAAGCTAGAAGTGAAGTTACGGCTTGTGGTAGAGCACTTGCCTCGAGCAAAAAACTAAGGGTCTGAGTTCAAGCCCTAGGACGGACACACACACACACACACACACTAAGGGTCTGAGTTCAAGCCCTAGGACACACACACACACACACACACACACACACACACACACACACACACACACACACACACACACACACACACACATCATGGGACTTGAGCTCTGGACCACACACACACGCCATTCATCATCGGACTTGTGAGCGCGCGCGCGCACACACACACACCATTCATCATGGGACTTGTGAGCACACACACACACACACACACACCATTCATCATGGGACTTGAGCTCTGGGCCTGGGCGCTCTCCCTGAGCATTTCAGAATAAGAGCATTTCAGAATAAGGCGAGTGTGCTCTACCACTTGAGCTACAGTGCCACTTTTGATTTTCTGGTGATTAATTGAAGAGCCTCATAGACTTTCCTGCCTAGGCTGGCTTTGAACAGTGGTCCTCAGATCTCAGTTTCTTGAATAGCTAGGTTTAGACGTGAGCCACCAGCACCTGACTAAAAAAAGTATTTTTATGCTAATCTCTACATCAGTCTCCAAAAAATCCATAACATGCCAGTTGCTGTGGCTCACGCCTACAATCCTAGCTACGCAGGAGGCTGAGATCTGAGCACGGGGATCAAAGCCAGCCCAGGCAGGAAAGCCTTTGATGCTGTTCTCTCCAATTAATCACCAGAAAATGAGAAGTGGCTCTGTCACTCAAAGTGTCATAGTTTTGAGCAAAAGATCTCAAGGACAGTGCCCAGGCTCAGAGTTCCGCCCCACAACTGACAAAGAAAAAAAAATCTGGAACACAACCAACAGATGCACATCAAATAGCACTGAGACAATGCAACGGTACTATGAGGGACACATGTAAAGGTACTGGACACATAAAAAGTTAAGAAAAACGGTTATCTTAAGCTGGGTTTGGAAATGTGAATACCAACTTCTAAGATGCAAAGAGGAAGGGAAAAGGTTTCCTACCTGAATACTCAGGTACAAGGGTATAGACCACATGAAGATACACAAATTCACCATTATATGTCAGACTAAGAAGAAACAGTATAGCTAACATTTAGGTGGAATTATAAAGGAATTATAAAGGAAATAGTACTGGTTCTTGTCCAAGTTCTATCTTCATCCTTTAAGTATCTTTCGAATATCTTTAGTAGAAATTGCTCTCTTCATAAGTAGATCGATAAATCTGGAGTCCTCTCCCAAGGTTGTACCAGGTAATATATAGCCAGTTAATTTTGCTCTGTGCTGAAATTTGGAAGGGTCAAGACCTTGGGCTTGCTTTGATAAGCAATCACTTGAAAAAGGCAGTCAACCTACCACTTTGTTCCTTTCAAAGAAGTGCCCCAAAGATTTTCTGTTGCACATGGAAAGGTGAAGGAGTGCTAATGAGACAAAAGTAGACTCCTACTTATTGCTGGAGACAGATTTTGAAACAGGGTACACTATGGGTAAAGTTAAATGTGACAGTAAGGCTAGGGACATACCTTGAACACAAAGCTCTAGCAGAAAAAATGGGTTAGAAGGAGGAAAGGAAGGGAAGGGAAGGGAAGAGAAAGGAAGGGAATAGGGAAAGAATGGGGAATACAGGACAAGGCAAAAAGCTATAATGAGGATAGGTTGTATGACAATCAAAGAGACCAACTGTCCAGATATGTCCATAAAACTGTTGAGAAATAAATGAGATGAAAGGAAGGAAAGAGATACAACTGCAATTTGATAGAATATAATGAGAAGCATTTATTAGCACACTGATGAACCTGCTAGAGTAAAAACTATTTCCATAGCTTATTATTATTACTCCTTTTACGGGGGTGGGGAATCACCTTACTTTGCTAATATGCTCAGGAGCTTGGTCAGGAGTGTTGCTGAATTCTCCACCAATCTGCAGGTCACTGACACAGCAAATTGAGTCTCTCAGTTCTGTGAGCTTTTGACTGCCCAAAACCAGCATCGTCTGGAATGGCTTATGTTCTTTATGCTAAAAGTCAAACAATAAGTGTCCATTTACCAACAAAGCAGCTAAACCATAAATCCTGTCAAGACTAGATCTAAACAAAGTTACTGGCCTTCTTAATTTAAATTGTCCCCTAGGGCTGGGGTTGTAGCCCAGTGGTAGAACAGTTGCCTAGCACATATGAGGCCTTGGGGTTTGATCCCCAGCACTGCAAAACAAATTGTCTTCATGAATTGTTATGTTGTATTTACTTATTAATTTTTTTCTTTTAGATTCTGATTTCTCTATTTCACATCTATTAATTACAAGACCAAACTGAGAATGTTGTTAAGCTGAAGGTGTATCTTAGTGGTTAAGACTTTGCCTACCATGCATAAAGCTCTGGGTATAATCCCTAGCACAGAGGAAAAAGAAAAAAAGCTATTTATAAATTATTTGCATTCCAGATCTGAAACCACTTTCTTTAACTTTTACTCATAAAGCTAATATTGCCCTAGGTGCCCAATCAACCTAAGTGAACCAGGGACTAGAAAACAGAAATCAAACTTGTTGCTCCAAAGCCCAATGGAATATTTAAACCAGTCCAAAATTGTTTACCATGTTCTTCCTCGATGTTCCTATAGAAAAACCCATAAAAGTTGTGGTCTATGACTTTTCCTCTGTTTTCTACCATAGCACCAAGACTGGTGCTCACCCTGTGGCCTTATGTGGTACAGCATGCCTTCTCTTCTTACAAAGGAAATATTAGTAATAATCTTCCATTTGATATCATTAATCTGTATTGTCACACAATTATCTCTATAGATTAAATTAAATTCCATAATTATTTGCCAACAGAACTTCTCTAGTTTAAGTTGAAATTTATAATAAAAAAACTACTTAATAACATTAGGATTATTTTCCTGGAATTTACACCAATAAAGTCAGGCAATCCATACTTTTTTTTTTTTTTTGGTTCCGGTTGTGGGACCTGAACTCTGGGCCTGGGCGCTGTCCCTCAGCTCTTCAGCTCAAGGCTAGCGCTCTACCACTTGAGCCACAGTGACACTTCCGGCTTTTTTTCTTTTTTTCTTATGTGGTGCTGAGGAATCGAACCCAGGGCCTCGATTATGCAAGGCAAGTGCTCTACTACTGAGCCAACTTCCTAGCCCAGGCAATCCATACTTTATCTTCAGGTTATGAAACCAAGAGGTTAATTGTTATTCATGTTTTATTGAGATCTCAAACAAAATAATTCTAGATGCTTCGTCAATACTTTTTTGTAAATACAATCTCTGTAAAAAAAATACTTCAATTAGACCTCATCAGAGTTTAGGATACATACACTCTTATGCATGTGCAAGCCTGGTTTAGATACCCAGCACTTGGGAGAGGGAGAAGGAAATGCTTTGAGACTCCTAAGAAATTCTTCATTAATTCTATGTATCTTCACCAAAGATACATAATTTCCCCATTATTCTGAATTGGTGAACAAGGTTTATTCCTCTACCAGCCATCTGTGCTGCAAAAATCTTCAAGAATTCATAAATTAGAATCACTGGATATTTATATATACTTTAATGCAGAAATCAGTTATCCATTTCAATACTAGGCCTGTAATTCTATTGGACTGAAAGACTGGCATTTCACTTTCTTTTGGTATCAGAAAGAAATACCTTATTAAAACAAAGTACCAGCTGGGTGCTAGTAGCGCCACCGGAACAGCTAAAAATATATATTTATATGCAGTATGAGCCATCATGCTAGTCTCTACATCAATCACCAGAAAATCCAGTACATGCCAGGCGCCGTGGCTCATGCCTACAATCCTAGCTACTCAGGAAGCTGAGATCTGAGGATTGCAGATCAAAGCCAGACACGGCAGGAAAGCCTTTGAGACTATTCTCTCCAATTAATCACCAGAAAATGAATAGAAGAGCTCAAGGACAGCACTCAGGCCTCAAGTTCAAGCCCCAGGATGAAACAAAAATAAATAAATAAAGACAAAGTCCCCAAGAATAAGGATTGTCAGCTCTAAAAATGTCAGACAGCATATATTTGCATTTATTTTGAACGCTGAGGTTCAAATAACTCTTCAAATGATTAAGTCCTATGTCAAAAATAATAAGGCCTAAAGATATAGCTCAGTGGTAAAGGGTTTGTCTAGCATGCTTGCCTTGGGTTCAATATGCAACAAGAAAAGGGTAAGAGCCGGGCGCTGGTGGCTCACGCCTGTAATCCTAGCTACTCAGGAGGCTGAGATCTGAGGATCGCAGTTCAAAGCCAGCCCGGGCAGGAAAGACGGTGAGACTCCTATCTCCAATAAACCATCAGAAAACTGGAAGTGGCACTCTAGCTCAAGTGGTAGAGCGCTCGCCTTGAGCTGAAGAGCTGAGGGACAGCGCCCAGGCCCAGAGTTCAAGCCCCACAACCGACAAAAAAAAAAGGGTAAGGAGCTAGGCACAGGTGGCTCACACCTATAATCCTAGCTACTCAGGAGGCTGAGATCTGAGGATCATGGTTCAAAGCTAGCCCAGGCAGGAAAGTCCATAAGACTCTTATCTCCAATAAACCACTAGAAAACCAGAAGTGGTGCTATGGCTCAACGGTAGAGCGTTCATCTTGAGCTGAAGAGCACAGGGACAGTGCCCAAGCCCAGAGTTCAAGCCCCACAACTGACAAAAGGAAAAGGGTAAGGAGAGTTAGACATATTATCCATAAAACCCAAAAGGTTTTACTACTGACCTTTTGAAATATAATAGGATACAAGATATTCACAGATAGGATAAGCTCTCCTTCTTCAATCAGGTCTGCTGGATTTTCAGGCTTTTTGCCTATTGCATGTGACTCCTGAAGAAAAATAAAACTTTGAAATTAGATACTTTGAACTCAGATAAAAGGGAAAGTGAAAAAAGGGCTGTTAATGGCAGCCTGAGTCAGCTCTGGGTTTGATGCCTAATTATACTTCAGGAAAACCATTAATACCTTTCTAAATTATGAAACTAATTTTACAGAACTGTTGAAGGGAATGTGTATGTAATACATACTTAACAACTAACAATAAAATAGGATACCAACTAGTACCAGTATAACATTGTAATTCCAGTTATTAATACTTTTTAACATATTATCTAACCTATTTCAACATATAAAGAACAGAGGTTCAGCAATTTACCCAAAGTCAGACCAGAGAGTTGAAATCCAAATACACATGATTAGCACATCTTTAACATGTCATATTCTTTTATATGTCCTTAATTGCTACAAAATAAGAGCTGCTAGGGTAGAATGGTTAAGAAATAAAGCTGCACAGAGAATGATGTAAGAGATGAAATTGATTGGGATACATTGCATACATGTGTAGAAATGTTGCATTGAAATTCCCCTTTACACAAATAATATATGCTACTGATGTAGGGAAGGGAAAGAGAAAGGTGTAAAGCAATTCTTCAGTCACACTACAGTTGAAAACAGCAGCCCAAATTCCTGCAACTGTTAGCTGGTCCAGGGCAGTGAGTGGGGATTATGTCTTGTGGTTTGTCCAAGGTGCTGTCACAAGGTTTGCCTTAGTTTTGATCCTGTTGGCAGCAGTGGCACGTGACCTATTATAAGGTTTAGACACAATCTTCTTTCTTTTTGAAGCTATTAATTCAAGGAAATCCTTCATTAAACTCATGAAACACAAGTTGTAATGAAATAGAAATGTCAGTGACCACATGTAAATAACATGCATGCTCTAAAAATAGTCTAGAAAAGCAAACAAGAAACTCCTGTCCTCTACAATAAAAATAAATACTCAAGAATGTCCAACTCTCAAAAACACTTACAAAAATATAAAGTAGATAAATATGGCTCATTCATAGAAGGAGATAAGAACTGGACAGAAACCAATACTGAGGAAGCTGAGACAATAAGACTAATTGCCAAACACATTATTCCTACAGGCAAATGCTAGACTCATAGAAATAAAAGTCCACGCCAGGCGCTGGTGGCTCACGCCTGTAATCCTAGCTACTCAGGAGGCTGAGATCTGAGGATCACAGTTCAAAGCCAGCCCGGGCAGGAGAGATTGTGAGACTCCTATCTCCAATAAACCACCAGAAAAAAAAACCGGAAGTGGCGTTGTAGCTCAAGTGGTAGAGAGCTCGCCTTGAGCTGAAGAGCTGAGGGACAGCGCCCAGGCCCAGAGTTCAAGCCCCACGACCGACAAAAAAAAGAAATAAAAGTCCACTAAATAACAAACAAAAAATGAGGATAAATCAACTATCCAAATGTGATCAATGAACTAAGGAAAGCCAGACAAAGTAATTACAGGAAATGAGTTTCTCAATTAGCTTAACAGCTGATTTTCATCAGAAGCCAAGGAGACAAGAAACAAGTTAAGATGACAAGCTAAAAACCACGAATGAAAAACACTGTTAACCAAGAACTGGAGCTGGCAAATCTATCCTTTAGGAATGAAGGAGAAATAATACATTGTCAGATAAAAACTCAAGAAGTTCACTGAAGTAGGTTTGCTTTATAAAAAGTTCTAGAGGGTTGTTCATGATGAAATGAAAAGATGAGACAGAAGTAACTTGAAGCCATAAAAAGAAAGAACAATGGTAAAGTTAACCACATAAATATACAAGCCAGGGCTGGGAAGGTGGCTCAGTGGTAGAGCGCTTGCCTTGCATACCTGAGGCCCTGGGTTCAATTCCTCAGCACCACATAAGCAAAAAGAAAAAAGCCAGAAGTGGCGCTGTGGCTCAAGTGGTAGAGCACTAGCCTTGAGCTGAAGAGCTGAGGGACAGCATCCAGGCCCAGAGTTCAGGCCCCACGACCGGACCCAAAAACAAAACAAAACAAAAACAAATAAATATACAAGCCAGTAACTGAAGGCTTTTCTACCATTTCTTGCATGGGGTCAGGAAGTATTTCTCTCTTTTCCATACCTCCCTATTTCATCTCGTGCTAAAAGGAGGGAAGGACTGCCAGTGTAGCTCAGTGGTCTGGTTAGTGGCTGTCTTACATGCAGAAGGCCTTAGGGTCAATCCCCAGAATTGCAAAGCAAATGAAGAAAGCAGTAAGTTTTGAGATTCAGTGGGGTCAAGTTGGGTTGGTGTATAAGAGTTTCTTCTTCTCCTTTTTTTTTTTTTTTGGATCCGGTTGTGGGCCTGAACTCTGGGTGTGGGCGCTGTCCCTCAGCTCTTCAGTTTAAGGCTAGCGCTCTATCACTTGAGCCACAGCACCACTTCTGGCTTTTTCTGCTCATGCGGTGCTGAGGAATTGAACCCAAGGCCTCATGTATGCAAGACAAGCACTCTACCACTGAGCCACCTTCCCAGCCTCAAGGGTTTCTTCTTAAGAAGGGGCTTTGAGAAAGAAAGATTAGCCATATCAGATTGGATCAGAAAGATTAGCTCCATGAAAACTCCAGGGGCCAACAGTTCCTAGAGCTGAGCTGCATTCATAGACAGGACTATTTACATTTCAGGACATAGAGTTGGACCATTCAAGTGGACAGCTGTGCCAGGAGGCACAGAAAAAAATTAAATGAGCTCTAACAAACAGGAGAGATGCTGAAAGTTGCAGGATGTGAGCTGATTAACGTAGTAAAAACAACTGTCTTGCTGGCTGACACCAATGACTTTGGGGCTGCCCAATAAACCCTATCAAGTAATGTTCCTGCCTAACCTGCTTACCAGGTTGCCCAAAGGAGGCTGTGTTGAGCAGAGAGAGGTGTGGAGGGTGCCTCACAACAGCACTACCATGAATATATAAATACATACATACATATAGTATACTACACAGAGCAATGTGTTTGTTCTGGGATTTTCATAGTGTCTTTAAATTAACATCTTAACTTTTACAATTAATATTAGGAAGGAGAAGTGTAATTATCATAGCAATACCTATTATAGGGAGATCTAACAAGAACTGAAGTTTATCAGATCATGAATCATATTGTTGATACTATAAACTGTCTACTCAGTGTTAAATGTGAGATGAGTGTTAAAAAATAAAGAAAAAAGTGAGTTATTGTAGGAAAAATGAGGTATTGCTCCTGAGAAATAATAAAGAACACTCAAAAGTCAATTAAATCTTAGTAATTTAATTATATGAACTATTTAGTTATCATATTGGATACATGGTAAGTAAAATTAAAATACTCAAACTTGAATAGTACGTGTAAAGAAGTAGACAAAGTTGGTTTTAGTTTTTGTTGGCTGTGGGTCTTGAACTCTGGGCCTGGTGCTGTCCCTCAGCTCTTCAGCTGAAGATTAGCACTCTACCACTTGAGTCACAGCACCACTTCTGATTTTCTGGTGGTTAATTGGAGATAAGGTGTCATGGACTTTCTTGCCCTGGCTGGCTTTGAACCGCAATCCTCAGATCTCAGCCTCTTGAATAGCTAGGATTACAGGCGTGAGCCACCGGCGCCTGGCTCAAAGTATTATATAAGTGACATTTTTCTAAGAAAAACAGAACATGTAAATTTTTTAATTAAGTTTTTTTTTTAATTTGTTCTTATTTTTAAACTCATGACATGAGTGCACTCCATGAGATTTTGTGCTCAACGCTACTGCTCTACCACCTGAGCCACAGCTCCACTTTTGGCTTTATTTTTTTGCAATTTATTAGAGATAAGAGTCTCATGGGCTTTCCTGCAAAGGCTGGATTTGAATAATGATTCGCAGAATTCATCCTCCTGAGTAGCTAGGATTACAGGAGTGAGCTACTACTGCCCAGCAATATTAAGTTTTTATGCAGCAGGTGAAAAACTGTGAGTTCAATTGTCAGTAACATAAAACAAATAAATGAAAAATTACAATATATATGTTTAAGATTTAATTGTAGGGCTGGGAAGGTGGCTCAATGGTAGAGCACTTGCCTTGCATGCATGAGGCCCTGGGTTCGATTCCTCAGCATCACATAAGAAAAAAGCCGGAAGTGGCGCTGTGGCTCAAGTGGTAGAGCGCTAGCCTTGAGCTGAAGAGCTGGGGGACAGCGCCCAGACCCAGAGTTCAGGCCCCATGACCGGACCCCCCTCCCCAAAAAAAGATTTAATTGTAACACATAACCCATTTAGAAATACCTATAGCATATAAAAACCAAATGAAAGAAGGAATCAAAGGCACATCACAAAAAAGCTAAGGGACGGTGCCTAGGCCCTGAGTTTAAGCCCAGTGCTGGCACAAAAAAAAAAAATCAACAATACATAAAATAAGAAAATAACAGAGGAACAGAGGAAAAAACAAACACCTAAATGACACAAATAAATAGTGGAAGAAAATATTTCATATTAGCAAATAATTAATTGATTTTGGCAGTACCGGAGTTTAAACTAGAGGTCATATAGGCTCTACTTTTTGAACCATGGCTCTAGCCTGTTTTGCTTTAATTTTACAGATAAAGTCTTAAGCTTTCTGACCAGACAGGCCTCAGACCAGGATCTTCTTACCTCTGCTTCCTGTATAGATGAGATTAGCCATGAACCACATTCAGCTTGTTTGTTAAGATGGTATCTTAAGGGCTGGGAAGGTGGCTCAGGGTAGAGCGCTTGCCTTCCATGCATGAGGCCCTGGGTTCAATTCCTCAGCACCACATAAGCAGACAAAGTCAAAAGTGGCGCTGTGGCTCAAGTGGTAGAGTGCTAGCTTTGAGCTAAAGAGCTGAAGGACAGCGCCCAGGCCCGGAGTTCAGGACCCATGATTGACCAAAAAAAAAAGATGTTGTCTTGACAACCTTTTGCCTGGGTTGGCCTTGAACCATGATCCTCCCATGATGTGTACCCTCTCATAGTTTACAGATAAGGGCCTGGCCCAGTAATTGTTTTTAAATGTGAATGGACCAAAGTCCCTTTTTTAAAAAAAGCAGATGGTGGCTCAGTGGTGGAGTACTTGCCTTGCATGCATGAGGCCCAGGGTTCAATTCCTCAGCACCACATAAGCAGAAAAATCTAAGAGTGGCGCTGTGACTCAAGTGGCAGAGTGCTAGCCTTGAGCTGAAGAGCTGAGGGACAGCGCCCAGGCCCAGAGTTCAGGCCCCACAACTGACCAAAAAAAGGCAGATGAATAGATTAAATTATAAAAATTTGATTCATATATACTGTGTACCAGACTCATTTTAGTAAAAGGAGATTCCATACAAATA